GCGCGGGCCGGGGGGGGGGGAAAGAGCGGCCGCAGCCACTAGCTAGCACCGGGTGCCCACGCCAACCTCCTCCCCACCCATGGGTGCCCCAGGGAAAGCCGGCCCTGGGCTCAGCCCCTGTGCCATGGCCCCGCCGGGCTTCCCCAGGGACCCTCTGCTGTCTCTGCCCATCACCCGTGGTGGTGGTGGTGGGGGTGTGAGCCATGGCAGGCGCGGCGACCCCCCGACCTGTGCCCGGGATGGGACAGTGAGCCTGGGGCAGGTGCTGTGCCCCCCCTCCCCGCTCCAGTGGGTACCCTCCCTGCTCCCCACCTCAGTTTCCCCATCTGTAAAATGGGGAGAATAATACTGCCCTACCTCACCGGGAGCTGGCTGTCAGCTGGAGCTCATCTCTGCACACCCAGGGCGACCGGCAGTGGGCACTGCCAGGGGCACGGGGCACTGCCCGCCCTGGGGGCCCAGGACACTTTCCTGGCCCCCCCAGACAGCATCAAGAGCCCTGATGAACAGTGTCTGCGGGGGGCTGGGGTCCGGTGTGGGGGTCAGAGCCTTGGCAGCGCCCATGCCCCAGCCACCCACCATCTCCCCCTGCCATCCCCTGGTCCTTGGTAAGACACCCCAGCATCGTGGGGACACCCCAGCCCTGTGGGCAAATGTGGTCCTGCCACTGTGGCTGACAGGACCCAGCCCAGTGCTCTTGAGCCTGCTGGGGGAATGGTTGGCTTCTGGTGCCCACGGATGGGACCCCCAGGCCATGCTTGGGGACTGGCCGCATGGCTCTGGGGAGGTGGCATGCCTGCCAGGGGCTCGGTGCCCACTGGCATCCTGCCTGTGCTGCGGCTCGGCTGCCTGGGGCCTGGCTCCCCAAGGGGCACGGATGGGGGACGCAGGGGGCAGCACTCGCTGGGGGCCAGCTCGGGGCTCCAGAGCCACCCCTTTGTCTGCGAGCTCAGACGCCAGGGTGACGGACACCCCCTGAGCCCAAGCTGGCCCTGCTCGCCTTGCACCCAGGGCCAGCACCCAGGTCCCCACAGCCCTCTCATACCCACCCATGCTGCCGGGATGCCCCCATGCCATGCCAAAACCTGGAGAGCGGCTCTCCCACCCTGCCTCCCTTCCCAGTGCAGGGGGCAGCCCGGCAGGGTGGGCAGCATGGGGGGGCCGTCCTGCAGCAAAGTACATAAGAGACGTATTTTTTTACCAGGGTGGTGGAGGCTGGGATGCTTTTTATAAATACTGTATATAAGAGTAGATCTTTTTTAATGTGTTGGTGTTGCTTGGGGTAGCTCTGTATAATGTACATATCTATATGGGACGGAGCAGGGGGCCGCGACCCGGCGCCGGTGAGGGGCTTGGCGGACCCTCGCCATCGCCCCGGGCTGCCGGCTGCAGCGCAGCCCCAATGTCCCTGTCCCCAGCCCGG